TCCCATTTACCTGAGCCATAAATCTCCTCCTATTCCTTAATTCTGCAGATATAACCAATAATAAAATTCAGTTCGTTCTATGTCCCTAATATTTCTTGAATCCTTCTCCTCTCTCCATTTCCATTCTTGGTGCCTTAGTTTAGACGTCCATCATTTCTTTCCCCATAATGCTGAAACAGCCTCCTAACTAGAGTGTTGCACACACTAATAAATTCTCCAAACTGGAGTGATCTTTATAAAATGGACATTTGATTGCTTCACTATGCTCCTTAAAATTCATCAGTAGTTCTCCACTGGCCTTAGGATAAGTTGAAACTTCTTAGGAAGACATAAAAGACTTTTCATAATACAAGACCTTGCTGATCCTTCTGGGTTCCACCATGCATTCATACAAGACAGAAGCTACTACTTGCTGGGCACTGTCCTTCACCTTCAACTCTATGGGCCCACTTTTTTACCCCCAGGACTTTACATATAGGACTTTCTTCGCCTGGACTACATTTCTCTTTAACTTTCTCACTTGTCTGGATTATTCTACTTATGCTTCAGAACTCCTCTCTGAATTCATCTTCTATGGTTAGGGACCCTGACTATGCCCAGTCAAGGTTAAGTACCTTTCCAATGAGCTCCCCTGTTGCTAGCATCTCACTGTTGTGTGATCAACTATGTACTCATCTGTCTCCTCATTAAACTACAAGGTCCTTCAGGGCTGACTGTCTTATTCATCTTTGTATTCCCAGTGCCTTGCTCAGTACCTGACACACAGCAAGCACTCAATAATGAATAAATAAAGTGGAAGAGTTGGGTTTCAAAGTCAGATCTTCTCTCTCTGGCACAAATCTCACATTTCTTTATCCTACTTCTTAACATCTTGAATCTGAAAATTTCAAGAATCCATGCTACATTTTTGCCTATCACTAATTAAAATACAGGCAAATAGATTACTAACTCCATGAGGGTTCAGTTAACCATGTATTTCTTGAAGAGCCCTTATTCATCATTCCACCATTTTGCTCATCAAAGTACTTTGGGTTAACTATATCTAAAATGACTGAAAGATCTTTCAATACACTTTTATATCCTTTCTATCTTTTATCCTGTTACTTCCACAGCACCGAAAAGCAAGCAGAGAGTAAATACATTGGGAGTCGGGTCGATTTTATTTGTCTGGCAACTGACACTAAAAAGTGATGTGTCAACAGCAAACCATTTCCCATTAACATTTCCTCCAAGGTCTCTATGGGTATTGAAGTTTCAGTGTGAAAATTTAACATTGCAAAATTCAGCTAAAATTGAAATTTTTATGTAGTGAGTTCAATATAATCACAGAGTTTTGTAAATGGAAGGAATCTTATAGATCCTTTAGCCCAGCACTTTTGTTAAGCTTCCATGAGGTAACAGACACGAGAAGACCTGTAATAGCTCACCCAAGGTCATCCAGTCTGTAGAATTTCCTAACTTTCAGTTGGCCGATCTTTCCTCAATGCCATAGATACCCTATTATTTTCCATCTAAACAAATTATCTACATCGGAACCTATCTATTTACATAGTGCTTATCTTTATGATATTGCCTTTGTGATATCCTTGTTATAAAGAGGAAGGAACTGAAAAATAAGCAAGGCTGTCTTATCCAGGAACATAAGAGAATTGGTAAAAGAGACAATTAGTACAAAGAAATGGGCTCCTATTTGTAGTGTAGCCTTGTAATCACACTCTGTTCTCTGAGTGCCCCAATGCTAAACCAAGCTTATTTGTGCTTCTGGGGCCTGGATTCTATTCAGTTCTATGCCTTATTTAGTCTAAATGATTTCCTCAGCTTCAATGTGTATTTTTTTAGCTTTATTTTATAAATATCATACTTAAATCTCCTCTCAAATTGGGTTTGTTTTAGTTCTAATGCTGAGGAATCAAGATTCTCGGTAAGAGAAATAAAGATGATGGGTTTTTCTAGGCTTTACATTTCAAGAATGGTTTTCTCAAATGGCAACTGGCAGTCTACTTTATTCCTCAAATGATGACGTTTTCCATGGGAATTAGAATTTAATTGGGATAATTTGTTTCCACGGAAAGCACAGATTTCTTCCAAGAGGATCAGTTTGATAATGTTTTACCAGCTAAAGCTACGAGACCAAATATAAACCAGTTCTGAGAAACAGGAAGTGAACCTAACTGGTCTAGTCTGCGTGTCCCTGGCAGTGACGCACATACAGAAATCAAATTAGGAAAACAAGATATGTGGGTGTGAGGCAATCGATAATAATCCAGGATGCTACAACACAAGCGAGAACGCCTTTAACCAAATGCCATTCATTTTAATAACACCCTGAGAAGTTTGATTTCCACATAACATGCTAGTGATTAGAGAGCAGGATGAGCTTGAGTTCCCTAGCAACAGCATGTGCTTTTGAGACAGTCATTAGCCTTTCAGTTAATCCCGCCAACCCCTTACTGCTAATGTATGACTGACATTAAAGAGAAGAAAAAAAAAAGAAAAGCTGTTGCAGAAAGTGCTTTGAAATTTCCAGGAGCAAAATGGAAAAGAATAATAATTTTTTTAAAAGTTGTCCTGAGAATTGCACTCAGGTAAAAGAAGTAATGTTCCTATATGCCCAGCCTGTCCCCTTGTTCACTGCTTTCAGTTCTAGATCTCTGAATCCCCTCCCGGTAAAGGGCAGCAGAGGTGAAATTGTGCAGAGGTGAAAGTTCAGAGTTTAAGGCAGTCCCCTTAACCAACATAAATCACAGTCTGAAAGTGGAGTGCATAGTGGGGTGGGCAGTTTGTGTAGGACCGAGGCTGACGGGGGTGGGGCTGGGTGGGCGGAGGGAACGTAAGGCAGTTTTCTTTCTCCTTTAAGCAGAGTAAATTACCTTGGTTGAAGCTGCTTGGGGAAGGAGGGTGGTGAAGGGAATGAAGCTATTTTTCCTATTGATTGTTTAATTGCACCAGAGGCTGTTTGTCCAAGGCCACTGGCCAAGAGCATTATGTTCGTGGCTAAAGTGAGGTTGGGCAGGTTTCCATAGCCTTTCCTAGTGTTAAACAAGACAACCCGTAAAGCTCAGCCAGGCTATAGGAATATGGTGTATGTTGACTTTTGCTAGCCAGCTGTACCCTAAAGCGCCACGGCTGGTGGGATGATGGTTTTCTAACTCTGAATCATTGCCTCTAGCTTGGTCCTTAGTTCAGGATGCACAACTTCTCTGTGTAGCCTGGGTCAACTGCGGGGCGTTATTCGAACGGTAACTATTGCCGCGGGTCATCCTTATCGTGGCCTGGGTCCCTTTCAGCTGGACACTGGACTCCTTCAGTTTGGCTGGGGTGATTCCTAGTTCTCCCCGCCTCCCCACCTAACCCCCCTGCGCACTCCCTTCCCAAGGCGACCACCTGCGCCGCCCCACTTACCATCTGCCCCGCGGGGAGGGCTCCCCGGGGTAGCGAAACCCTCCCTGCTCCCGGGCGGCTCTGGGGGAACTCGGTGTTTGCCTCCAGCCCTTCGCTGCTGGAGAGATCAGGTTCCTCCCCTCCTCCCCCTCCAGCTCCGGCCGCCGCCGCCGCCGCCTCCTTCTTGCATGACACAGCAGAACCGCAGCTGCCGCAGCAAGTCCCAACCATCCGCCCAGGAAGCGCCGCAACCCGGACTCGGGAGGGGCGGAGAGGGAACCAGGCTGGGGCCACCGCCGAGGGGGATTCTTGCCCCCACTTTGCGCCACACACTCTTTTCCCAGCTCAGGGGCAAGGGAACAAAATCAGGCTAAAACCGACCAGGCCAAGCCCTTGAGGGAAGCTGGGGTTCGGCGTTCTCAGGGATGGGACCAGAGAGAAGGGTGTGAAGGAGACCCCAGTTGAGGCAGGACATTGCAGGTAAAGAAGGGGAAGAAGAGGCCGAGAAGTCGAGGGCCAGACTGTGAAGGAGAATAAAGGAGGTCAAAGAGAGGTAAGGAGGTAGAGTTGCTGAGAAGGGAGAGCGAGCAGGGAAGGGGAGGAGGGGACCTGCTGGGGAAGGAGGATTGGGAGGGAATATATGGGGAGGCTTGAGCTAAGTATCCAGGCAGCACAGGGCTGAATTGGGAGGCAAAGGAGGAAAAGCGGAAAGGGATAGAAGAATTAGGCTTTAGATAGGAACGTAAATATTGGGGGACATATTAAGGAATCAGAAAGGATGTAGTGGAGATCATGCATCATGGCTGATGAGGGAAACTGATGAGCTGGAAAGAGATACAGTCAAGGCAAAGCCAAAAAGAAAGCATGATCTTCCGTTCCATTCTTCAGTTTCCTATAAAGTTTTTCATAATTCTGCCAAACCAACAGGGAGTTTTCCTTACAAATGGAAAAGCATGAACTAAAACATAGAAAAAGCCGTTTAGCTTAGATTTGCAGGATAAAATCTCATGGTCCACCCAATCTTTAAGGCAGAGATTTAGGACTGGGGGTTGTGATTCAACAACACTGAAGGCACTCAAAGCTGATATTACAGTTTCCACATCACTGGACTTAAGTGTTTCAAAGTTTTTGTTAAATGCTTCAGTTAAATGCTAGAAATGATGACAAAATCATTGGTTCAAAATGTCATAAAAAGGCATACACTTTCCTTTTTCTCTACACACACATATGCATGTATATGTAAATCTATATGTAATTTCTAGTGTCTAGCATGTCCGCAATGATTAAGGGGAAAATGTGTTTTTCTGATTATTTGATTTCCCACCAAACACACACTACGCATTTTACAGCAGATCAGCTGCTTCTCACCATTTTAAAGAATGTGGTCAGAAAAGTAATGCAAAAACTGCCACTGTGGTTTTGTCTGTACCTTCCAGGTCATATCGTCGTACCTCACTTCCTGACACAAACAAGTTTTTACTGTTGTCAGCAACAAAGCCCTAATATAGCTGCGGAAGAGAAAAACTGCATTGCATTTGCCTCCTGCAAGCATCATCAACACAGTTACCGGAGGAATGTAATTCCAGAAAAGCTTTAAAGCTGGTGTGATGGTAATTATGTATCAAATGCCTGATTCTATTTCTGTTATTTTGTCATTTCTGATCTACTCAACAGCAGGCTGAACTCGCAGAGGGAAAAATCCAGTTTTTCTTTTTCCCTTGGTAAAATTTAATCGGACCTGATACAAAACTCATTGCTCTTGGGGAAAATAAAGTAGGAGCCACGAAATGTAATTTTAACAGAGCGTGGGTTTTGTGACTGTAGGAAAGGATTTAAGGACGCTCCTTCTGTTCGGTTTCCTATGTAATGAGAAAAGGCTACCCGCACGCACAGACGCCACAGCTCCCGGATGCTGTGGCTCACTCATCTGGGCTTCTGCAGCGCCAGAAGCCCCTCCGGGATGCTGCGAGGGGCTCTCGGTGGGTGGTGGTACAAACGCTGCGGCCGCTGCCGCCAGTCCTGCCGCTGCTGTTGTTGCTGCTGCAGTCACGTGGGAGGCCCTTTAAGTTTCCATAGAGAGGCCTCTCCGGTGTCACATGATGGACATGATATAATGAAACAACATTGTGGAGAGGAAAGCATTAGGGGAGCCCACGGCTACAAAAACAAGTGAGTGAGAAGAGGTGGGAGGAAGAGAAACTACGCCACCTCCCCTGCAGCCGAGCTGCACGCAGCAGCAGCCCGCGGGAAGTGGGCGACGCCGGGGGGGAAGGGAGACCCGGTCCCCAGCCCCGGCCCGGGGACCCCGCTGCCCACCGCCAAGAGAACAACTTTTAGCCGGCAGCCTCGGCCAGCACTGCACCTGTCTCCGGAGCCTCCATCGCTCCTCGTGATGATCAAAGGGGCATTCTAGAAGAATATGTTCTACAAATATACATGCGCATCATTTCCCCCCTTGCGTCTCGCTCCGGAGGAAGGAAAGAGAAAGGGATTTAAGCAGCAGCGTGTGTTCAGCCCCAAGGTAAGTTCTGGAGGGTGGGGAAAGCCGGCCCAGCAGGACTTTGGTATGGGAATTTTGTTCTCCGTTTGGACCTCTCGAGGTGAACGAGGCATCCTCTCGCTGCTGGCGAGGTGGAGGGCTCGGTGGTCCAGCAGAAACATTTCCACTGTGGACTCTGTTATTTCCTCTTTCACACGCCCGGCGGTCCCACCCTGGGACTCCCCGGGGTCCCTCGCCTCTCCCCGGAAGGGGCCGCAGGTCCCGGCCGGGATGTTGGCGAGCCGCGCGAGGGAAGGTAGGGGTTGTGGCGTTATCCGGGAATGCCGAGGCGATTTCGCCATGTTTGTGTTGCTAAGAGCACTTTTTTCCCCTTTGAGGTGGCTTGATGCCACATGGCTCCTCCGGAGCTGCTGCCGGTTTGAGAGAGTGTGTGTGTGGTTTTTTTTTTTTTCAATGTCCGCATTCCAGCTAATGTTGCGCAGATAAAATTCAAACTTGAGGTAAACAGAAGAGGACGAGGAGGAGGGGAGGGAGGGGGGGAGACTGTTTCCATTTCGAGATCCCACCTCTTCACTCCGCGGAGACTAACATCCCGAACCTCGAGAGCACTCGCTCCTTTCTCCCACCTACCCTACCTTTGCTGTCGACCAGAAATAAGGCGGCGGCGGCGGGGGGCGGGGTGGGGGGGGAGTGCTTGTAGAGGACGCGGTGTCTGGGTTCTAAAGGCAAAAACAGCCCCTGGCACCCAGGCCTTTGGCCACCTCCCTCGTTCCGCCGAGAGGGACGGAGGATGCAGTGTTGTGCTCTGGAGCTGGGGGACCGGAGGACCACTCTCCCGGGCGGGGCCGGGGTGTCTGATTCCCCTCTCACTCCTTCTTACTTTAGGGAACTGGACGGCGTCGCTTCCAACACACCCCCGCCCCCCCGGCGCAGGTTCCAGAAGGCGGGATGGGTGGGTCTCCAGGTTTCCAGAGAGCGAGTGGCGTAGCAGGTGTGTGGTGGGCATTTGTATTCTACAAGTCTTGCATTTGGTGGGACGACGTGGGGAGTCTTAAAGCGAGTGGATGGTCAGAGCTGCGTCTTTTTTTTTTTTTTCCGACTAGGGAGAAAAATCAAGACCACCCGCCACCCCGTTTTAAATATCTGATTCAGCTCGAAGCTAGGCTGAAGGGTGAGTGGAGAGGTGTAAGGGTGAGGGGTGAGCTTCGTCATGTGGAAAACTAGGCTTCTGACAGCTTGTGGCTACCCCCGCCCCCGGGGCGGAAGATGTGGGTTGGGGGGGTCCGACAGGGGTGACGTCTCTCGGGGTGGGAGCAGCTCGGGGTCCCGAAGTGCGCCAGGGTTCGCAGCCCAGTCGTGGGGGAGTGCCGGGGCTGGGAGGAGGCGGCCACGTGAGGAGGGTCTGCGGAAGCGCCGGAGCTGAGAGATGGGGGTGAAGTGCGTAGCAGAGTCGTGACCGGGGCTGACACGAAGCAGCCGTGGGCGGCAGGCCGAGGAGGAGCGGAGACTCGCGCGGGGCCGACCCCAGTGCAGTGGCGACGGTTTTATTCCGAGCCGCGGCCGGAGCCTCCCACGCAGGGCCAGCGCCCCGTCCGCGGGTGGGTGCGCACGCCAGGGCCTTTTCCCGGGAGACCGTTTCCGGGCGGGGTCCCGGGCCCGGAGCGACGGCTGTAAACAGGGTGGCGCCCTCTGCCCTCCCGCCCCCGGCTGGCCGGGGCGCGCGGCCGGCGGCGCCGGGGGCGGCGGAGGCGCGGTCGCGGCGCCGGGCAGTGGCGGC